TTGGGTGGGTTTGATGAAAAACTTGGGCAGTTGTATAGAGGGAGACTGATTATCTACTCACCTCATCCTTCAACATGCTTGAAGGTCAGTAGGTTAAGACCATCCTAGGAAATAGTTCTTATCCTTTGCAGCTGGAAGCAATTATTAATGACCTCATGTGGGATATTACGATAGAAACAATAGAATAATATCTTATTCAGTACACAAGACTTTATTCGATAGTAGAATTTCAAAGATAAGTAATAGATGATCTTATCTCCCAAAAGTCGGCTTTGACAGTGCCTCAATGCAAGACCTTACCTTCATAAAGACTGAAACCGATTCACTAAATAACCTAAGGATGACAAAGGACTCGCAGAAGAAAATAGTCCACTGAAAATAAATTAGAAAATCTTCTGCATTCAATGTTCAAATTCCAACTTTAAGCCTTGTGCAGCTCATAATCATATGCTAAAAAATGAGGTGTGAAAAAATGGCAACAATTATGTCCAATAACCACAAAAAATGTCATTTCAGTTCTTGGACCTTTGCTAAAAAAAAATNTGCTAAAAAATGAGGTGTGAAAAAATGGCAACAATTATGTCCAATAACCACAAAAAATGTCATTTCAGTTCTTGGACCTTTGCTAAAAAAAAATTCATCAACCACGGTAATCCTGCAGAACATCAATTAGTACCTCAAAAGACTCCAAATACTTCTAAGTCTCCTGTAGTTGTATAGCGGGGTATAAAAGAACAACATGATTACAACATTACAGGATCAATCAGAATGCGGGGACGTGCAGAGCCTTTAAGAGAGAAGGGATGCGGGAGCAAAATACTTTAGAATAATAAAACCCTTCAATTTTTCACGCAGATTTTACCATGGTGTGCACCCCCCTTAACCCCTATTACATAAGGGGGATCTTTGGTGGGATAAAAGAGAGCGTGGAAAAAGTAACTATAGGAACAGAACAAAAGAAAAAATGGCGCAAAAGAGCATCTCGCACAAATTAAATCTTGAAAAAAGTGTCAACTTTNCTATAGGAACAGAACAAAAGAAAAAATGGCGCAAAAGAGCATCTCGCACAAATTAAATCTTGAAAAAAGTGTCAACTTTCTATCCAACTACAAAACGAAATATCATACCTTAATAGTTCCAAGAAGCGTGAAAGCCGTTGCTTCTTGCTACTTAGACTAATTGTCGAACTCGAACTAAGATAAAAACAAAACATGAATCCTGAGGAGAAAAGCTAAGGGTGTCTATTGGGGAAGTTATGGTTGGTTGAACTTTTACATGATGAGCTCAAAGATTATGCTCCAGCTCAAGAAAAGTCTCTTTTTAGTATCAGTTTTGTCACAGTGAACATATTCTTGTGANGTCCAATAACCACAAAAAATGTCATTTCAGTTCTTGGACCTTTGCTAAAAAAAAATCCATCAACCACAGTAATCCTACAGAACATCAATTAGTACCGCAAAAGACTCCAAATACTTCTAAGTCTCCTGTAGTTGTACAGCGGGGTATAAAAGAACAACATGATTACAACATTACAGGATCAATCAGAATGCCNGACTCCAAATACTTCTAAGTCTCCTGTAGTTGTACAGCGGGGTATAAAAGAACAACATGATTACAACATTACAGGATCAATCAGAATGCCGGGACGTGCAGAGCCTTTAAGAGAGAAGGGATGCGGGAGCAAAATACTTTAGAATAATAAAACCCTTCAATTTTTCACGCAGATTTTACCATGGTGTGCACCCCCCTTAACCCCTATTACATAAGGGGGATCTTTGGTGGGATAAAAGAGAGCGTGGAAAAAGTAACTATAGGAACAGAACAAAAGAAAAAATGGCGCAAAAGAGCATCTCGCACAAATTAAATCTTGAAAAAAGTGTCAACTTTTCTATCCAACTACAAAACGAAATATCATACCTTAATAGTTCCAAGAAGCGTGAAAGTCGTTGCTTCTTGCTACTAAGACTAATTGTCGAACTCGAACTAAGATAAAAACAAAACATGAATCCTGAGGAGAAAAGCTAAGGGTGTGTATTGGGGAAGTTATATCATTTGTTTTGCTTGTATACTGATAAAAAGTGATAGAAGGTTGTCTGAATACTTATATCGATATAGGTGTGATTTCCATTCGTGTATAGTAAATAATTTGTTGGAAAAGCTTAGGTTATTGTAATGATAAGATGACATTAAAATTCTAGATTATGGATAAGTAAAATTGCTACTAACTTCCTACTGTATTATGATATCATTAACCATTAAACATTTCAAGTTTGTGACAATGTGCAACTCTGCAGGATGTGGAGGTGGTTTACTACCAACCCTATATTGATGGTGTAGATTTTGTTTTCGTGGAGAGGCAGAAATGCTAAGATTATCTCTAGTCCATATCTTTTTTCAAACCTAAATTTAAATTAGGATATAAATTTTCTAAAAACATTCTTCAATGTTCAAGAAAAGTCTCTTTTTAGTATCAGTTTTGTCACAGTGAACATATTCTTGTGAAAAAAACATGGTAGTTACGATAGTTTATAATCGAGTTTAAGAGAGATAAGTTATACAAAATCTTATACTTATTTTGGAAATGATATTTGTTTGATTCAAACATGCGTGCTCAAATTTGGTGAATAAAATATACCCATTCATTTTTTTTTTGCTACAGAGTGTTCAAATTTGCACTGACTATTCCACTCGCTTATCATATTAGTCCTGACCCAACCTTTAGACCATTGCCTAGGGCCCCAAATTGAAAGAAAATTTTGGGGCCTCAAAATAAAATAAATAATGATATATAATTAAAATTTTAGAATATAATTTAAATACTTAATATATTTTAATTATTGAATTAATAGTGAGTGTTAACTTTAAATAAAATTCACTATTTATCTAATGCACTTGATCCTCAAATTAAGTGCAATTAGTATTATTGTAAAATTTGTAGAACCTCTTTCAAAAAAATTTAGGATCCTAAAGTTCAACTTATTTTTATATCTCACTCGATATTTATATTAATTTGTATTATCACTTTACAGTGTTATTATTAAAATCAATTGTCTATCGTATAATAAGTACGAATAATAATTTTACATTTGTATAAGATATTTCAAGTTATTTTTTAGAATCTCATATATAACATATTTGTCTAAGACCCCAAATTAGATTGCGCTGCCCCCGTATGGTATCTGTAACTTTCCCTTCCGCAGCAACTACAAAAGTTTTCTTGGTTTATGAAATTTCTACGCCAATTCATCCACACTGGCTCAAATCAAATCACTCAAAGTTTCAACTACAAAGTCCACCTTTGGCACTTGGTGAATTACCAGATGGCTATGGTCCTCATGAGGTTTAAGACCTACTCGCCACAGAAAGGAAATTTCTCTGCATTTCACTAAGAAAAGTTTTCTCGGGTAAATGGCGTTTTGCATATTGAAAGATTTTCGTTTTCTCAATGTATACCTCAAAAGAATGAAATTATCATATTGCACCCTTAATCAAGCAGAAAACTAGTAATGTGCTCCATTCAAAATTGAGTACCACATTTTTGTTGAAAACACACAAAATTTAGTATTATGCAAATAATTGTGTATAAAAATAATATAATATGATAAATATAACGAAAAAATTTGTCACAACAGATAACGGACATATACTTTTGGACTATTTGTTATTATTTTATCTGATTGAAGGTGTAATGTGAGAATTTTAATCTTTCAAGGTATAAATTAAAATTTTGAGAATCTTTTAGAATATAAAATGTCATTCACACAATTTCCTCACAGAAATTTCTCTCCATTTTACAGATGTCATTTTTATAAAATGTCATTCACACAATTTCCTCATAGAAATTTCTCACCATTTTACAGATATCTTTTTTATAATATGTCATTCACACAATTTCCTTGTAGATATTTCTAGCCTTTTTACACATATCTTTTTTAATTACTAGAAAGGGACTTGTTACTGTACTTCCAAAATTTACTACTTCAGGGGTAGTTTTATTATTTTTGTTGGTTATTTTACAACAAAAAAAATTATTATTTTTGTGGATGATTAACTATATTTGTGGGTATTTACCACTTTTATTTGGTACAATAAATTATCACAATCCGGTGAGGTAGAGAGGACTCATCAATGTCCAAACAACGTTCCTTATTTTTTTTTTATAGGGGAGGAGGTTAGTGAAGTTTGAACTCACGACCTAACCATCTGATGACGACAGGCGACTACGGAGCCATTAGACCACCGCTGATCTTTATGCGTTCCTTATTTTATTAGATGTTTACGTATTCAAATCAAGTAGTTTCCAGGGAGATTACTCAAAGGAGTGCAAGATTTCCAGACATGTATCATTGTTTATAACTACTTCCTCAATTTCTCTCAAAGTATTTTTTTATTAATACAAAATGGTTTTAGAATTGCCCAACTTATAAACGTATTAGAAAATATTTTAGATTGATATGAAAACTGATCGCAATTAGTGATAGAAATTTTTTTCCACGAGTTTGGAAGATGTTACTTTCTTAGAAAGATGACATGTATCGTGTTTCGTTCAGGTTTAACATGAGATGAGATTAGATAATTAATTTCAATTTAATTTATACCAACGGTAATAAAATTGTAATATTCATTGGTATATTTAGAAAGACAAAGTTACCCTTGCATCTAATTAATAACATATTGAATGGCGAGTGAAGTGATGAATCCGAATTGGGCACAAATGGTATAACAAGTAATAAGTGCGGTTGCAAGCCATTGGTGATTGAGAAGACTATGCTTTTATTGATTTATAAAAATTGATTAACTCCTCTATTCTAGTGGACTCATAGATTATGGGGACTTACATCCCCTATACATTTACCTATTCTTTGGGAAGATAAGTTCATTGTAATGAAGTCACGTGCAATTATTTCACAACACGTGTAACGATCAATATTCGAATTTATATTCATTTTTAAGTATATGTTGTTCAGTAACAAACTAACTAACATTTTGAAATACGTGATGATCCAACATGAATGTCCATAATTAGACCTATCTTTGAGTATGGAGTTCTAAATTTTGTCTTTCTTCTTTTGTTCTTCTATGTACATGAGAGTAGACAAGATGCCAATTATAAGATTACTGCTAAAAGTACAAGACAGAAAAAAGAAATCAATTTAGGCCACTATCTTTGAATATGCTTCAATAACTGCTCTAACGACATGGAATTTTTAGTTTTTATTGTAATGTGACGTGTAGATATTCCAACAAAGATAGTGTGGGGAAGTGTGTTTCCAGTTGCAGTTTTTTCCCCTTCTTCAACAACGCGCTTTTTTCTGGGCCCTACTTTCTCGAAGGAGTCTCTCTCTTTCTTTAAATCCATGTTTAGTAACACACCCACAAGCCCACAAGATTCTTACAACGTTGTTGGTGAATCAAACGTTGTTGAGTGTGAAAAATGCAGCTAAATCGACAGTTAGAAGATGGAAATAACGTTGGATCAGAAGAGAATAGCGGTTCAGATGATGAATTGATGAATAGAAGGATTAAGTAAGTCAATTCTCTTTCTTTTGCTGCGGCTGCTTTGAGACTATCACCCAAATGATGAGCAAGAAATTGGAAAATCAGTAGAGAACTGAAGTGGGTTTTGATTCATATTTTTTGATTAAGTTTTTACTTTGTTTTTTTTTTTTATTTTTAGGAGGAAGCTGGAGGAGATAATTGAGCCGATTGCCGAGCGTGTGATTGAGCGGATTGCCGAGCGTGTGATTGTGATTGCCGAGAATTTGTGCCGTAGAGTTGTGAGTGCATTTTGTGGCCGTAACACATCTGGTTCATATATATATATACACATATGCATTTGTATATGTGTGCGTGTGTGTGTGTATTTGGGTCTCTGCCTGCTTGTGTTTTTATGAATGGCTAATTGGTTCAATGCTTACATGTACATGTATTAATATGCATATGTTTGTATACATTAGATTTGTAACCACTTGAATTCGAAAAAATTTATGTGTATGCATGCGAATTTTATTTGTGCATTTCGGTGCATATGTGGGTGTGTATCTCAAATTTGTTTTTCAAGAATTGAGCTTAACCTTGATTCTGGTTCCTTGCTTTGCTTGGAGTACTATGTGGAGATCTTTCTTTTTTGATAGGAAACGAAACTATTTTGACACTGTTCTGTGATCTTACTAAGTTAAACTTGATTTCGTAGAGTTGTGAGTGCATTTGTGGCCACAATACAGCTGGTTCATATATATACAAATGCATTTGTATATGAATGGTTGTATGTGTATGTGGGTGTTGTGTGGGTGTATATTTGCGCATCTGCCTGTTTATTTGTTAAAAAAATGGCTAATTGGTTCAATCCTCACATTTTCATGTATTCCTGTGCATATGTTTGTAACATACACTTAGATTTGTAAGTTGTAACCACCCGAATTCGAAAAAATCTGGGTGTATGTTTGTATATGTGTGTATGCATTTCAGTGCATATGTGGGTGTATAATTTGTTTTTCAAGAATTGAGCTTAACCTTGATTCAGATTCCTTGCTTT